GGAAGAGAGAGAAAGAGGAGTGTCCCCTTTTTCTGAAAGGAATCCACTTGGCAAAATATAAATGGGCCTCACACAACTCTTATCTGCCACATCATACTTGTGCCTCGCCCAAAATAAATTTTTTCGTTATAAAGGGCAATGTTATTTATTTATTTATTTTTGTGAAGGATTTATAAAATTTGTTTTACTATTTTCAAGATCAATTAAAGATCAATAGGTGGAAGAGAAATATTTTTAATCTAAAATAAACATTTTCAATACGTTGATTTTTATTTTTTTTCAAATAGTCTATATTAAGTAATTAGCTACATCTCGATAATAACTATGTGTCGATCTCAAAGTAATATCGATTGTTTGAATTTCTTTTATTGCCTAAAGTATAAATAACACTATCACTATTCACCGTCACCTTATATGAGTATTACTCCTAATTAACATGTAATACTCCAAATAATAACTACTGTATTTTATTGCTTTAATTTATATTTCTTACTTCTTTATTTAATTTGTTTTTTTAAAATCTGTTTTATATTTATTAATTTTTTAAAATATATTTTCAATATTTTAGCTAACATTGCTTAAAGCCATAAAGTTTCAAGAGTATTTCAATACATTATACACGTGAATAGCTGAAGATAATTTAAACTGAAACCTTCTTTTACTTTTTAAACTTCATAAATAATCAAATTTAGGTAAAAATGATATATTTTGTTTGAATTTGTTTGTCCAACTTTGTTTTTTAATTTATTTATAAAAGAATGTCTTTTTCCTTTTTTGATAATTTTTTAATTTTAATTTTTCAAATGACACATTTAAGACTACAAAATTAAAGTACATTTAATATATTCTACATATATATCTTTAGTTTAAGATTCCAAACTATGTATATCAAATTAAAACCAGACAATCAATTTAAACGAAAAAAGTAAATGCCGATTTAATTTGGACATACCATTTAAAAAACAATCTATTCCTAGAAAGTAAAACTTACCCTTCATTAATACCTTGTAAAAAATGTACTCCCTTCGTCTCGATTTATATGATTTACTTTCCTTTAAATCAGTTTAAAAAAGAATGACACATTTTTATATTAAGTAACAATTTAATTTTAAAATGTTCATTTTATCGCTAGTGAAATGATTTATAGCAACACAAATTTTAAAAGTCTTTCTTTCTTTCTTAAACTCCGTACCAAGTCAAACTATCTCACATAAAACGAGACGGAAAGAATAGTTATTTAGTAGTTTCTCGGTCAAAAAATATTATTAATTTGATGATGTAAAATATTATTTATTTTGTTAAATACCACTTGTTTAGGAAGTGGGGTGTATATTGTATAGATAGAATTAGGGGTGTTCATGAGTCGGTTTGGATCAGTTATTGGTCAAAACCAAAATCAAACCAACTTAATCGATTTTAAAATTATCAAAACAAAACCAAACCAAGTATAATAAACATTTATTGGTTTGGTGGTTATCGGTTTTGGTTTGGTTTGGTTTGGTTCGCTTATTCGGTTATTAACCATTCACAAAAATAAAAGAAACAATTCATTCAAAATGAAAAAAGTGACAACAATCCATTCAAGACGAAAATTAGTTAAAATGACTTAAATTACTGAACTTTCGATCACTAAATGTACTATCAATAAGCTTTAAAATTCACTATATTGGCCTAGAAGGAACATACTAACATTTTCAGTCCCACAAAGAATTGTCATAGACACTCATATACATGAAATCAATAAGATAAATGTTTTCATCTTGGACATTTTTGCTTTCAATAAGTAAATTATAAATAAATTTTAATGAAAATATATATAAGATCTTTAAAGTTGTTTATAAAAATAATATATTAAGTATGTATATTAATAAAATATATCTATATAATTCATCGGTTCGATTCGATTATTACTTTGGTTTTTTCGAATAAAATCATAACCAAACCAAATACTATCGGTTTTCAAAAATCTAAAATCAAACCAAACCCAAACCCAAATAAAATCGATTTTATTTTATCGATTTAGTTTGATTTTTCAGTTTGGATCGATTTTTATCCAAACCGTGAACACCCTTAGTTAGAATTGATGATTACTATTTAAGGTTGGAATTAATATAATTGGAGAAAAAGGTAGAGAATAAGTCAATAAGGCAGCTGAATCCCTGATTTGGAAGTTAGCTTGGTGAAACGTGGGGCAGTGTGAAAGGTCACCTTATACAACCTGTCACCCCCCATTTTACAGCCTGGCAATGCATTGTGGCATCCCATTTTACCTTTGATTTAAGTAAAGTGCATTTGTATAATCCACACTATGTAAACATGAATATAATTTGAAATAGTAAGTTGAGACGCAGTGGTGAAATTGTTTTATTTTTAATAAGAGGTTTCGACTTCAAACTTTAGATATGATGAAAATTCTATTAGGTACATTATCTCCAAATAGGTCATGCCATGTGCAATTAAATTTAGTCGAGACTTCAATACGAATTCCGAACACCAGACAAAAACAAAAAGAAAATATAATACGCTATTTAATTTATTTCGGAAAGTGTCATCGCTATTCCTTTACTATCCAAAATATTTTAATTTGTTTATATTATTGTCATACTTTAGAGTGATTCATACTAATATATTACTAGTTTAAAATTATATTCTCCCATAATCAATTTCTTTATCTTATCCGTATTCCGTTACGAAGATAACAAAGCCTAATTCTAAGCCATTTTTTCTCTCAAATATTTTGACACGTAAAAACTATCCGGCTCATGTTGGAGTTTTGTTAGAATAAAGAGCAAATGTGAGTCAATTAGCTAATTATAAGAATATGAATGAATGATTCTAACCAGTGTTTTGAAAGGTAGGGGCGTGAGGCGAGGCGTTTTATGCAGTACGGGGCGAGGAGTAAGCCTCGAGACACGGAGTGTAAGTTCCATGGATCTACAACGCATAGCCTCATGTATATTTAATTTTATAATTTTCTTACGAAGAAAATAAGCAAAATGAAACTTTCAATGATTTTACAAATAATTTTTATAAATAACCTATAATATATTGAAAAAATATTACTCCCTCCGTTTCACAAAGAGTGACCCGGTTTGACTTGACACAAAGTTTTAGAAAATAAAGAAGACTTTTGAATCTTGTGGTCATAAATTAAAGTTATGTCAAATGTACTAAATTGCCCTTCAATCTTGTGGATTTAAACATGCCACGTGGAAAACTGAAATTAAAATGTTACCAAAAAAGAAATATGTCATTCTTTTTTAAACAAACTAAAAAGGAAAGGAGATCATTCTTTTTTAAACGGAGGGAGTATGATTTTATTTGAGATAGGTATTAATAATCAATAATGAAGAAAAAGAAAGTATTATAATTACGATTTGAGAAATATCATTACACCAATAATAAAAAATATGATTTAAAGCAAAAAAAGGTTTTAAAAAATTTAAAACTCCCGGGGCGTACGTTTTTACGCCCAAGACTTATGCTTTTTGCTCGGGGCTTACGTGCCTTATGGATCTACGTCTTCAATTTGCGCCCCGGAGCGTTTTTGGTACGCTCCGCCCCGAGACTCTCCCCAAAAACGTTTTTAAAAACACTGATTCTAACCTTTAGATATAACATAAAGTAAAATTAAGATATTTTATATAATTAAGGAGGCGTAAATCAGACTTTTCCCTTTAGTATGTTAGGTGAATATTCTTACACTACACATTATAATTATAAATTTAACAATTCTAGCATGCAATTACTATTTTAATTATTTTTTATTTCAATTTATCTAATATAGTTTGATTTGACATTTTTTAAAATTTAGTTTTTTTACTTGACATAGAGTTTAAGAATGAAATATTTTTAAAATGTGTGGCTTAAAATTAATAAGTAATAAATGTTTGTTGACTATAAATTATTTCATTAAAGCTAAAATGAACATTTAGAAGTTTAATTAGTTTTAAATATAAAAATATATCATACTTTTTCCAGACCGACTAAAGAGTAAAATGAATCGTATAAAATTGAGATCGAAGAATAAAAAGTATATTGCAACTAGGGTAATACTAATAATAATAGAAAGGACCTGCATCTGACTTTTCAATGGTTTGTTAATAATATTTTCCTTAATTTATTGTTAGTGCGTGCAACTTATATACATCACAATCTTTCGGTCCAAATGAGAATTATGAATAAGTTTGACTTCATGTAATTTATCAGTATATAAAACGTTAAGCACTTCCATTTAAGGTTTATTAACAATTGAAAAGTTCCAGGTAAAATAGTGGTAATCCTATATTTATTTGGACAATCCTCTTCATAAGCTAATTTTTAAAATTACATTGAGTTAGACTCAAAATTAATTTCTCTACATGATATGAGAGCATGATCCTCCCTAATTATTGTGTATTGATGTTTGACCCCACGTTAATTGCCTATACACGCACCATACTAGGCATGGGGTGGGGTGGTGAAGTTGAAGAGTCCCATATCGAATGAAATATGATTTTTTTGTATGGACCTAAAAAATTCATTTCCCGTGATCTAGTAGTTTTAGTGTTGGATTAGCCTCAAATTCATTTCTTTCCATTAACCAAAAATCTCGAGTTTTAACCTGAGAAAATGAAAAAAATCATATCGGGAGTGTCGTCTTTAACATTTACATATTATATTAATAATAGTCTTTTTCTTTGTTTTCCACCTAGTATAGGTCTAGTACCGCATTATTGGAGCTCGACTAAATCTAGATTCGCGCCGAAAATTTCCGCATTAGAGGTAAAATGCTCCCTAACAAAAACAACTCGATATCCAAGAAGATTCGATTCTGAAACCTCTAATTAAAATTGGAGGAATACTTACTAGCCACTCTACCACAAATTTTTGTTGTTATATTAATAGTACTCTCACTATTTCGAGAGGACACCAAATTTAAAAGGTGTCACATTAAGATGAAGCAAAAAATATTGTATTTCTCATACTACTACATGACAAATAGAGGTGGCCTTTATAAACCTCACCACTCTTCTCTTTTCTCACTCGCCGTTCAGTCTTTTCAAACAACAATTAAATTACTATATCTCTTTCCTTTTCTCCAATTCATATACATAATGGGCATTATATGCAGTTCATACGAATCCACATCAGTAGCCACAGCCAAATTAATACTTCACGATGGAAGATTACAAGAGTTTTCATATCCAATTAAAGCTTCTTTCTTATTACAAAACGACCCTACAATCTTCATTTGTAACTCCGACGAAATGGATTTTGGAAACGTCGTTTGCGCCGTAAAAGCCGAAGAAGAGCTTCAGCTTGGTCAGCTATATTTTGCCTTACCTTTGAGCCAACTAAAACATAAGCTGAAAGCTGAAGAAATGGCTGCATTAGCTGTCAAGGCTAGCTCTGCATTAAACCATAGCAGTAGTAGTGGTGAAAAATTTATAGTATTTGAAAAAAGTGGTCCCAATTTTTCAAAAAAAATGGTGGATGTCAATAATGATCCTACTCCTAAAGGGAATGGCAGGAGAAAGAAGTTCACCGCGAAGTTGAGTTCAATAAATGAGTAGCCTATCTCAACTATTATATTGCATTGATTATTTTCCATCAACACATGTATTATTAGAGAATTTTGCGTATCAAGGCTTAGTTAGATAGTAGGTAGTATTTTTTTTTCCGTCTTTGTTTGTGAGATCTGAATTCTGATTTCTCATGATTTTCAATTGGTCTATTAACAGTTAGGCTAAATCCTTTGTGCATATTTTAGAATTGAAGCTAATTAGTTACTGTTCATTTTGAGATGTAATTAGATAGTAGGTTTTGTAAAAGTATTGTGGTTGTTAATTACTCCCTCCGTCCCTATTTACTTGTCCATATTTCCTTTTTTAGTTGTCCCTATTTAGTTGTCCATTTTGACAAATCAAGAAAGGACAACAAATTTTTTTCCTATTATACCCTTATTTACACTTCTTGAAAATTGTAAAAGTGTATGTTGTTTCCCTCCAATTTATTTCACTTGAATTCAAATAAGTGGTTGTAATTTTGAAGTGAAAAAGTTTGTCATAAGGATAAAATTGTAACTTCACTATACTAATCATTGTTGCCTTAATCTGTGTGCCATTTCTAAAGTGGAACAACTAAAAAGGGACGGAGGGAGTAATTGTTTTAGGTTAATTTTATTGTACTTGTTGCCAATGGTGGGGTTGTATCACAATTTTACCCCTCAATGTACGGGTTTTATTAAGGTAGAGGAGTACAATAATCAGCTTGATTTACTGTCAATTACGATAACCGCAAGTACAATTTTGTTAATATCTAATTCTTCTGTTCACTTTTATTTGTCATGTTGCGTTTTTTCAAAAGTCAATTCGACTAAATTTTAAAGTTAAATTAGATTAGATTAATTCGATATTTTAAACAAAAAAAATTAGATATTCAAAAACTATAGAAAAAGTACAATAAATTGCAATTTTTTAAATATCAATTTGATGAAAAAATATATCGTAAAATGTTAGTCAAAGTTTTAATAATTTCATTCTAAAAAGGAAGTTATGACAATTAAAAGTAAACGGAGATAGTATAAGCTATAGCCTATATATATATATATAGAAGTCATGCATAACAGTATCGTGAATTGTGACCACTAAGAAGGATCAGGAGTAAAACAGTAGTAGTAATAAATAGGAGCATGCAGGGGTGGAGATCGAGAGCACAAAGTGAGTTGTATAATTTTAGTTTAAATTTTGTATTGTTTTTTTTTAGGCTTAAGTCATCTGCGGTACCTTAAAGTTGTCTGCATAATTTATTTAGACACCTTAACTAGGGTTAGTACCTATTAAACACTTTTATCTATTCAAAACTTGTTCCTATTAAACATTTTTCGATAATAAGCAAAAAAAAAAAGTGTGTGTAATACACTTGCTGTGATGTGGCAATGACTAATTAATAGATAACATGTGGCGTTGGCCCCAACAATTATAAAAAAAATAAAATTTAATGTTAAAAAGAATGAAAATTATATCAAATAAATTTTCCATATATTTTTTTTATAAAAACAAAATAAATGAGAAGCCAACCCTACCCCAACTCCCTTTCTTCTTCATCTTCTTCCTAGCAGAATTTTCTTTCTCAAACGATAAAATTCATTTTCTTTGGTAATTGCTTACATAATTATTTTTAATTCCTAATACGTCAAAGAGAGATATATTCAAAGAAACTGATACAAGAGTGATCAGTAAGAGAGTCTGTCAATCGTCTTGAAATCGATAGCAAAGAGAAATTGAGAGTACCTAAGTTAGTTTTATCGAATCAATCTGATATTATTTTTGATAATTTAGTGGGTTTACATTTTAATTTGAATGATAATATTTATTCGAAGGTGACCGAGATGACGTCGATCGGCTAACTTTTTTCAGCCCATGTTCTTTCTTCTTTTTTCCCTCCAAATTCAATTAGCTAATTCAATTTTAATTTTTTAATAAATATTGAAAAGAAATAGAATAGAAAAAGAAAAGCAAAAAAATAAAAATGGAGTGCAGTGGCCTTCTTGGAGAAGATGTCTTAAAGGGTGGAGTGGGGACTTTTTTTTTTTTTTTGGTTTTAAGAATCAGTATTACTTTTTAATTTATTTTTTAAAAAATTAAATATTTAAATGCCAAAAATGGCAGTCAAAGAAGAAAAAGTATTAAGTTTTTTTGGAAAAAATAAAAATAAAACGTTATTTTAGATTTTTTCACGCGCTTAGCGGAAGTGAAAAACACTTCTTTTGCCACATCAATATTTTGTGTTTAATAGGTATACTTTTTGAACAATTCAGATATTCAATTGGTAATAGTCATAGTTAAGGTGTCTAACTGAAATATGTGAACAACTTTAAAGGGCTGCAGATGACTTAAATCCTATTTTTTTGATAAAGTATTCATATAATGTATATAATATTATTAATTTAGAACTTAGCTCAAAATGACTAAAATCTCTAACTCATAAATTTTAATTTAAATGTTGTGGCCTTGTGGGATCATGGAAAAGAAGTGTGACGGCCACTTATGCAACTTGCAACCAAATACTCTTTCCTCAATTTATGTGACATTTTTTGAATTTCAAGATTCAAACAAGTCTATGTTTGACTGTAAATTTTTCATACATTTTTTAAATCTTTTGAATTGTCAATTATTGTGACTTATAGTTATAATACTTTTTACGTAGTTTATAAATATATATTTCATTCAAAAAATCTAAAGATTTCATGCCTAAATTGCTGGTCAAATTTAAACGGTTTAACTTTAAAAAAACTAAATATACCACATAAATTAAGATAGAGGAAATAGCCTAGTAATTTACTGAGCAAGTTAAACGTCCAGTTAATTAGGTAAGTTGCTAGCAATATGTCCCCGCTAACGAAGAGTGCTAGAAGTGGAGAATGAGTGGGGAACAAAGACTTGGGAGGATTTTCCCTTTCTTGAAAAAAAAAAGTATAGAAGAAGAAAGATTTTGACGTATTTAATTAATTTCTTTACTGTTTCAAAGAAGATTGACAATAGTTACAGTAGAAAAAGTGTCATGACAATTGCAAACCTAATAAAAGCACACAATCAATCACACATTACAAAGGTAAAAAAAGTTAGGCACAAGATTTATCAAGTTTGACAAATATGAGGGCAAAGTTCACAAATATCCGATTTTGGGCCATTATTTAATTTATATTTAAAATTATCTTGCAAATTTACCCATGATTGAACTTGAAAATTAATTTGCATCTAACTTCAGACATTTTTATTTGAAATTTGGCCTAGATTAAATATTAAACATGTTTATCTGAAGTTTGGTATAACTTGTCAAGACCGACTTCAGACATACTTGATTGAAGGTGACTTCAGACTTGGCAAGACCAAACTTCAGAATTTGGAGTTTCACTCATGGTGTCTTCAATGAGTGAAGTTCGACTTAGACTTAGTGTTGCACTCGTGCTAAGTGTATCTTAAATTTATTTCACGCATGAATGTACCTTAAGCTAATTTATATCTTTTTAGTCTAAAATCAACCCAAAAATAAATAAAAATTTATGGGGATTTATGGTATAATAAGTCATGAAATCTCCGTTAATCAAGACCGAACAAAGCTTTTGAAGCAGACAAAGAAGAAGTTGAGGAAAAACGATTTTGTATAATGTTCACCCTTTATGCATAGTTGTTATGTCTAATTATTTATTAGACGATTTGATAGTACAAATTTTATTTTGTTTGTTTGGTTTCCCACCTGATATTTGATATCCGATATCTATGTTGGAGTCCAACTAACTTTAGAATTGCTTCGGAAAGCGTTTTCTAACAAACACGATTCCGTACGAACCAAGGAGACTCAAATATAAGACATCTTATTAAGAATGAATGAGTACTTATCATTCCACCACAATCCTTATCGGTACATAACAAATTATTACCCTTGTGTACAACTCAAAACGCGACTCCGTACTAGGGAGACTCAAATATGAGACATCTTATTAAGAATGAATGAGTACTTATCATTCCACCACAATCCTTATCGGTACATAACAAATTATTACCCTTGTGTACAACTCAAAACGCGACTCCGTACTAGGGAGACTCAAATATGAGACATCTTATTAAGAATGAATGAGTACTTATCATTCCACCACAATCCTTATCGGTACATAACAAATTATTACCCTTGTGTACAACTCAAAACGCGACTCCGTACTAGGGAGACTCAAATATGAGACATCTTATTAAGAATGAATGAGTACTTATCATTCCACCACAATCCTTATCGGTACATAACAAATTATTACCCTTGTGTACAACTCAAAACGCGACTCCGTACTAGGGAGACTCAAATATGAGACATCTTATTAAGAATGAATGAGTACTTATCATTCCACCACAATCCTTATCGGTACATAACAAATTATTACCCTTGTGTACAACTCAAAACGCGACTCCGTACTAGGGAGACTCAAATATGAGACATCTTATTAAGAATGAATGAGTACTTATCATTCCACCACAATCCTTATCGGTACATAACAAATTATTACCCTTGTGTACAACTCAAAACGCGACTCCGTACTAGGGAGACTCAAATATGAGACATCTTATTAAGAATGAATGAGTACTTATCATTCCACCACAATCCTTATCGGTACATAACAAATTATTACCCTTGTGTACAACTCAAAACGCGACTCCGTACTAGGGAGACTCAAATATGAGACATCTTATTAAGAATGAATGAGTACTTACCACTCTACCACAATCCTTATCGGTACATAACAAAATTATTTACCCTTGTGTACAACTCATTCCAAAATACATTCAATGTGTACGCACACTAGTGGCATGTATTGAATATACATGCTAGCTGTGAATTAGAAGGCAGTAGCCAAAATCACATCGTGTACAGAACTAGTCTGCTTTGGGAAGAACACATCATATGGATGGGACAATATGTACAAAACTCTAATTAGAACCTCCAAATTGATCAATGATTACATAGGATTCAACTTAGGCTGAGTTGGCCCTCCATGCTTAGCTAGTGGCCTTTTGAATATATGTGCACCTAACTTTAGCATCCAGGATTCAGTTTTTGGTGTCTCTTTGTTTATATTTGCATTATTGTGCATTTTCTCTTCCACAACCATACTGGCCCCATCCTATATAGGACCACTCATCTCACTAGCTAATCTAATGTGTGTAATTTTCATTACTTATTATTACTATTTGAATTTAATATTGTCATTAAACTTGAAATGGCAAAAAAGTTATTTGAATTAGAATTGGAAAGATACGTTAAAAGCTTTTGTTTTGACATATGTGTATCATCGCAAT